CAAAGCCCCAGTACATAGTTGTATGTCATAGCTGCACATCCTTCTAGTTGCTGTATGTGGGACGCGGCCTCAGCATGGCTGGAGGAGTGGTGCCTCAGTGCGCACCCGGGATCCGAACCCGGGCCGCCGGCAGCGAAGCGCACGCACTTAACCGCTAAGCCACGGGGCCGGCCCTATACTGCTTTTAAAAAGTTGAAAATCACTGCATTACGTGGCCTGTGAAATTCCTTTTAGCAACTCTGTTCTCCTGGAGAAGAGTCTACCCAAGTTCACTTGGACCCTCTAAGCCACTCTTCCTTTCTTAGAATCATCTAGTGCCCTGGGGAAGCGGGTGGGTGCCAACTCCGCCCCTTTGCAGGTCCCTCCTAGAAGACGATGCCTTCAGCACCATGGCAAGCTTTGCAGGAGCTGATGCTGAGGTGAGCCGACCATTCCCTACTCCCTGCCCTCTCCTTATCCCCAGTGTGGTGGGTGTCATGGCCTAGGGGCTGCTCACAGAAGGGTTTAGAAAGCCCCATAAAGCAAGTTCTTTTTTTTTTTCTTTTTTGTAAGGAATATCAGCCCTGAGCTAACATCCATGCCAATCCTCCTCTTTTTTGCTGAGGAAGACTGGCCCTGGGCTAACATCCATGCCCATCTTCCTCCACTTTATATGGGACGCCGCCACAGCATGGCTTGACAAGCGATGCGTCGGTGCGCGCCCAGATCCGAACCTGGGCCGCCAGCAGCGGAGCATGCGCACTTAACTGCTACGCCGTGGGGCTGGCCCCCAAAGCAAGTTCTTAAAGCAAAGCAATACCCCAGGGCTCCCAAGTGGACCCAAAGCAACCTCCTTATCCTTCCTACCAGTGAGACAAGCTAGAAAGCAGAGCTTTTACCAACCGCTGGAGTCTTGGATGTTGCCCCTTCTAACTGTGCTTCCCATAATGAACGCCATAGCTGTCCAGTCATGTGGATGGAAAGTAGCATAATTTGAGTCCTGTGATGGAAGTGGTCTTTCTAATTCGGAGGAATAGAAAGTGGCAGCACTTTCGGGGTCTCCACAGCTGGGCTGGTTTGACTTCAAACAACATCCAAGCCCCAAGTGAGGGCAGACCCTCCTATTTATGCCCCATTGGGTGACCTCTGCTCCTGGCCTAGCAAAAGCAAGGCAGCAGGGGCCTAGAGCCCTGAGCTTTGTTGGGCCTTGGCTAACATGTGTCCTTACCCTCCTGTGGACTTTAGGTTTCAGACATCTCTGATGCAGACCCACAAGCTTTGCTCCAGGCCATGAAGGTAATGAAACAGCTTGCACGATTTTGGAAGCCAGGGGTGGGGTAATGATATTTCATGCCATACCTTCATTCTGCCTCTAATTTCTCCCTTTATGGTTTGTGTTTCTGAGCCCTTCCTAGTACAAGAATGGAGCTCATCCATGAGCTGGTGCCCTTCCTGCCCCTCTGGGTATAAGTCCATTTTCCTGGTTTATAGAGATTCCCACTTCGAGGCACAGTCATGCCACAGGCCTCTGAAATGGGGCTGGCTCCCACCCGAAGACTCACGTGGGTCCCTCTAGCCAACCACCACCTAGGGAGACGTGGAAGAGACATCCCCTAAAGCTTAACCTTTCTCTGTATTTCTCTCCACATCCCCTGCCAAGTCCCCTTCAGTACAGCTGTCCTCTCATCAGATCAAGCCCCAAGCTAATCTTCGCAATGGAATTTTAAGACATAAATTCTGAACAGTTTATAAGAGCATAATCTCTCCATGCCCAGGAGGCCTGGCCCGGTCTAGAACCTGAAGGAGCCCTTTGTTCTCTGCCCTATCCATCCAGCAGCACCCCCTGCCTGACCTCCGCCTCACGTCCTTCTGGTTAACTGTGTTGCCACAGTCCTCAGCCAAGACTGAGCGCTTGTTTTCAGCCCTGTGGGGCCCTAAAGAATTGGGGTCTGTTTCCTTCTTGGCTCCACATCAACTTCCTTAACCTCAGCTTGAAATCAGTCTTCCCCAAGGACACCAGCTGGGACCACTGAGTGTGACCCTCGAGTCCTCTGACTCAATTTTTGGTGGTGACTTTGAGCCTCTCATTCCAGAACCATGAGCTGAACCCCCTACCCCACTCTGCTTGCCTTTGGTTCAGTTTTCTTTCCTAACTCACCTTTTTTCTTTTCTTTTTTTTTTTTTTGTGAGGAAAATCAGCCCTGAGCTAACATCCAATGCCAATCCTCCTCTTTTTGCCGAGGAAGGCTGGCCCTGGGCTAACATCTGTGCTCATCTTCCTCTACTTTATATGGGACACTGCCACTGCATGGCTTGACAAGCGGTGCCTGGATGTGCTCCCCGGATCTGAACCTGCTAACCCTCGGGCCGCTGCAGCGGAGTGCGCGCACTTAACCACTATGGCTTCAGGCTGGCCACACCTTTTTTCTGAAGTTGTCTCATTTTCCTTTGTTTCCTCACAATTCTGTCCCTGGAGTGCCAACCACCATCTTCAGATGGAAGTCCTCATCCCCTTCTCAAAATCATCACTCAGCAAGTCTATGCTGAAGGCTTGTGACCAGGAAGTGCCTGGCTGCCTCCCTCTCCTGGCTTAGTTCATGCTGGTTTTTAATGTCATCTCCATAGAATATTCATTGACACGGAAAGCATTCTCATCATACCTCTGCCTCTAATTGCAGTTCACTTCTCCTGACCCAGGCAGGCTAAGAATCCAGAATTTTCCTTGACTTTGGGTACAGGGGTATCTTTTTGCCTCGGGTCCCCTCACTGCCTGGTGCAGTCCCTTTGGAAGTCTTCAATCTCAGGATCCTGCTATTTCGTTTCCGCTGCACACAGAGCTTCAAATTTTGCTAGGCCTTTGTGAGAAGCTGCAGAAAGCAGGTTTTAGTAACTCGCATTCTAGCGTTGAGGCAGCAGCTGCTAATAAGAGCCGGTGGAAGTACCAATCCGAGACCATTCGCCTCATCTGAGACCGAGTGTGTGGAGACTGTGCTTCAGCCCTCCCTCTGTCCTTATTCTGTAATCCTGTCAGATCAGTTCCCCAGCCCAAGTCCCCATTTGTCCCCATGGAAAAGGGAGGCAATATTACCACCAGGCTGCTCCAGCATGAGGGCGTTTAGCAACCACTAGCTGAGCACCTGTGAGGATTCCTCCCTCTTCCTCACTTCTCCAGGATCTGGACGATATGGATGCAGATCTCTTAGGTCTGAAGAAGTCTAATCTAGCCTCTAGTAAAAGAGCTGCAAAGAGTTCTGGGAAAGAAGAGCTGCCTAGTGATCCCAATGAGAAAGGTGAGTGGGAGATAGCTCCTTGAATATAGGGACACTTTGGGGACATAGAAAAAGCTTGGAAGGAAGCTTTTATGTCCTGTGGGTTTTCTCTGCCTGGGATGGAGAGACCAGGGGCTCACTGTGTACCTGTGGTGTGTTTGAGTGTTTGTGGTGGGGGCAGGGGACAGGTTGAGCTTCCTCTTCCCAGAGCTGTTCCAGTACCTCTAAGTCCAGCTCCTGGAAAAGCCATTTGAGTTAAATTGGAGAATTTTCTGGTAGCCTGTGCATCTCCCAAATCCATGACTCCGTTTGGAATGACTTGTGACCAGGGGGGTAGGAGGTGACTTCCAGACCACGTTTCCCTGCCAGAAGCCTGTGTGAGAACGGGGGAGGTGTAGACCCATCCCATGGCCATCTCTGCAGCCCCCCAGGAGGAAGTACACGCCATTGCAGAGCTGCAGGCGTTCGTGGCACAACCTTGGCATGGAAAGACCAGGCTTGTGACCTTGCCTTCTTTTTGCTTCCTGCAGGGGACGCCCTTCCCACCAAGAAGCCACCTCCCTCTCCCAACAGCTTTGGACATCAGTACAGGAAGTTTTCCTCTGAAGGTACCTTAGGCCCTGCATCCCGCTTCTAGAACACTCCAGTTTTGAGAGTGGAGTAGCCTGGGTAATGCTTGCTTGCTTGCCTAAGGCCAAATCGCTGTATCAGATGAGGAGCACACAGCTGGTGCCACTGATTTAGTTCCTCATGAATTCAGGGAGGGACTAATTACGTTGTATTGGCCAGGATATTTGAGGAACTTATTTGCAAGGACTTTGAAGCCAGACATCAAACTGAAGATTTTATAAAGTATAGGAGAAGTTCCCTTTCCCTTCATGAATGCACGAATGTTTTACTTCTCTTCTGATGACTTGGGGACATTTCCAGAAGGCTATGCAGACAGCAGAGGCTGGGGGCCCACAGGCAAGCCTGGGACAGTCACACCGGACCACAGGCCCCGCAGGCCCAGTGTGGCTCTCCCGGCTCCCTCTCCCCTTGCCGAGCCTGGGCTGTGTTGCAGTCCCCCTTAGCCAGGCCCCGCCCTCTGGGTGCTGAGTGGCTTGTTTATTATTAGAGCAGCTAGAATCTCCACTGGAGTGAGAACTCCCCCAGCGCAGCACAGGGCTCGTTCTCCTGGACAAAGCGCTGCAGTCTGACCTGTGCTTTCCCTTCTGGCCCTGAGACTTAGAAGACCCATTGGCAGGACTTCTCTCCGATGATGAGGAAGGAAGCACCAAGAAGCCACCCAGAACGGAGAGCAAAACAGCTTCTGAAAAGAGCCCAGCCCCAGTCAGAGATCAAGGTAGGGAGGGTGGGTTGTTTCTTGTCCTGGGGCCGATACAGTTGGCAGCAGGCTAGCTGAAATTTCCAGTGCAGAACCAGAGACCACCAGGGTGGGGAACACAGGTCTAAGATCCTGGACCAGAGATTATCAGTGTCTAAGAACAGGGAGGTGGGGTACATGAGCCCGGGTGTGGGACGTGGGGAGTCAGGTCCTGTGGCAGCCCGGACACGTGCGATGCCCACTGTCCCATCCAAAGGTCACCCCCCTCAGCCCATTCAGATATCAGAGTTGAGGGCAAGAAGGCTGTGGGCATTATCCCCTGTGCTCTGTCTTTTAGGTCCCTCTATTCCTCTAACTCCTGAGGACACCGCCATCCGAAAGAAAGAAGAATTGCTGTTTGACGACGGGGACGACCTCATGGCCACCCTGGGGTTTGGAGACAGCCCCAAAGCAGAGAGGAAGCCGACGGGAGACCAGTAAGGATCCTTATGGGTAGAGAGCCCTGGCCAGGCTGCTGCTTCAGGTCCAGGGAAAAGCTAGAGGAGGGTACAGCGTGGGCTCCCCGGAGCCCCTAGCATTCACGTGGGCCACTCTATGTCCCGGCCTTCAGGGAAGGGCCCCGCCCCGCTCGCTCCAAGCTGGATGAGCTGCTGGGTCGAGGCTCTGCCACCAAACTCCTGGCCCGCCCGGGCACCGGGGAGCACAGGGAGTTCAAGCTGGACAAGAAGTACCAGAGGCCTCAGGGTGAGGAAGCTTGAGGGCAGGGGAGGGGGTGTGGGGCTCCCAGAGCAGATTTGTACCACAACGCATAATAAGAAATACATCATCACACACACATGTAATCTTATTTTTTATTTATATGCTGTTTGACTTATTAAATACATTGGTTGTGACTCATTGAATTGGTTTCTCAACTTGCCAATAGGTAGCAGCTCACAGTTTGAAAAACACTGCTCTGGACCAGTGTTTCTCAAAGCATCAGCCCACAGGCTATGTGTTGAGAGTCATTCTTGCAACACACACAGCTCACTGGGCTCACCTTAAGCCTGGCGGGCAGGGCCCCGCGAGTGCGTTTTTAACAGCTCGCCAGTGATGTTCCAAGTGCTGGGGCCGGAGACGTTGAGCTGCCGCCCAGCCCCTTGCCCCTGCCTCCTCCAGAGCAGCTTCACCTTTGGCTTGTCTCACACGTCAAGTGCCATTTCAGCCTTTTTTAAACAGTTCTGCAGCCACAAAAGTGTTTGACTCCCTTGCTCTAGATCACGGACTCCTTAATTCACAGACAAAGAAGATCCTGGGGTTGACGAGGACTTCACCTTTGGGGCCTATCGGCCCACCGTGGGCTCCTCTGAGGGCCGGCAGTCCCGCCGGCAGTCGGTCAGGTAAGCGGGGCCTGCAGGGAGCTTGGCCTCGGAGACAGGCTGCCCCTGGGAAGACAGGCCTGGCCTTCCCCCGTCCCACTGACAGTCTTGTTTGGAAGGCCACGATGTGCAAGCGTGAGGCTCTGCGGGGGGTGCCAAAGGAAGAGGGAGGTTGCCCAGTCCCAGGCCGAGGGGTGGAAGTGGCCCCACCAGGATCCTGGTCCCAGACTCTGCTCCTGGCCTCCTTGGAAGGAAGAGGAGGAGGTGGGCCCAACTCTGCCTGAAGCCCCTTAAAGCCATAAATGGCCGTGATGTCAGCCAGCCTCCCTGAGGAGCGTCCAGTCCTAGGGGGGAAGACTGTTAACCTTTTGCAGGGGCTTCTCAAACCCCACTCCCCAGGAACACTGCCCTGGGAGCTGCCGTAATGATCCTGACAGTGGTCTCACCCCAGTTTGCAACAAAACATTAAGTTAGTGGATTGAATTTTCTGAATTTGGAGTTTTTCTCCCAGTATATATTTTAAACTTTGTATTTTGAAATAATTTCAAACTGACGGAGAGGTTGTAAGAATTCCCTCCTGCCCTTCACCCAGACTCAATGGTTGTTAACATTATGCCACATTGGCTTTATCAACCTTTCTTTCTATCTAAATCACCTTATATACACATCAACATTTTTTTCCCAATCTCAGTATATTCTTAAACTTTGGAACCTGCTGCCACTGGCCGGTAACACATATAGGCAATGGCCAAGTAAAGGACAAGGTAGCAAAATGACAGTGCATGGAAAACCTAAAACCACTTGATCCACTTGATATATCTTTGGACATGTGTGCCCTGGTTGTAATTTGGTCCTGTTCTCTGTGGATGGAATTGTCCCTGGTTCACGTGATGGAATTCAAGATGTCTATGTTCATGGTTCTACAAATGGCTCACTGCTGCTCTGCTCCTGAGCTGGTGTGGGCACCGTGCTCACTGTTCCTCTGGCTGGCTGTGCAGTGCCCCTGGGCATCTGTCTTTTTGGTGTGGGCCTCATACCCCCCAGCAGCGAAGGGAAAGGCTGGTCAGGGGGCTCTTGAGACAGGCTGCTTGTCCTGCCCTAGACCCTTCCTCTCTGTCTTGAAGTAGGTTCTTAGCAGAAAGTGGCACAGACCCCAAGGGAGAACCAGACTCCAAACAGAGCACCCCAGCAGCATCCAGCCCCACCCACCCCAGGAAGGGAGGAGCTGACTGGTTGGGCCTCAAGGACGACGACTCGGACCTGCTCCCTCTCTCTCCCACCAGAGAGGCTCGAAGGGGAGGCTCTGCACTCTCTACCCGCTCGGTACCCCCTTCTGCGAGCCAGCATTTTGCCCCAGGCCAGCACTCTGCCCCGGCTGGGCTGCCCTCCTCCTCCTCAGGTGCAAAGCCACCAACCAAGGGTGCAGGTTCCCCTGCCAAAGCCAGCCAGCCATCCCAGCTGGGAGCATCTGAAGAGAAAGAGGAGAGGGATTGGCTGAGCCATGCCTTGTCTCGGAAGAAGTCCCAAGGTCTGGCCAGAGAGGAGCGTGCTGCGGCCTCTAAGGGCCAGAACTTGGTGGAGGCAGTGGGCCGTCCCCCTTCCAACAGGTATGGGCTTGGGCTGCTGTCTCTAGTGGAGGGAGGACCTGGCAGGGGCGTAGGGGGCTGACCTCGCCCATCTCGATGCCTCAATGAGGCGTGCCGGCTCTTAGCTGTGCTCTTCTCCCTCTTTGGGTGTTGTGGAGAGAGCATCTGACTTCCCTCTTTCGCCCTGGTACAGACCCGAGGGGACTGGGGGGCTGTTGACACACCCTGACTGCCATGGGGATAGGTGCTGACTTGATCAGGCAGGAGACGGGGGGGTACCCTGGTGTGACAAACACAAAGCCATCCTGGTGCCTCTGAGCAGGTAGTCTGCCCACAGCGCTCTTGGGCTCGCAAAAAGCCCTGTATCAAAATCGTTGGTGCTTCTGCTGGCCCAAGCTAGAGTAAATGACGTGTGTAGAGGTTGAGATTTGTTCTTGCTTTTTGGGAGTGTCAGAGAAGACACAATGGCTAAGAGGCGACCCCTGGGAGAAGCCATGGAATGGCGATCCTGTGGGGCAGGGCAGTGAGTGACCCCTGAGGACAGGAAGGCAGAAGAGGCTGGCAAAGCCAGGATTGTCCAAAGCAAGTGGCTAGATGCTGTGCGGCCAGAGCAAAGGGGAAGTGAAGTGACAGGCCAGGGACATCACCTAGGCTGGGGCTGGTATGAATGAGGAGGGCGGTTTTGACCTGGACCTGAAGCCGAGGGGAAAACCCCCTCACTGACCCCGAGAGCTGGGAAGGGAAGTGGGAACAACAGACAAGAGAGGAGAGGAGTCCAGAGGGCGGCTGGACCTGGCAGGAGAGTGAGCAGAGCCTCAGTCTAAAGCTGAGAAGCTAACTGTCCCAGAATGAGGCCTTGAACTTGAACTTAACTCTGGTGCCTATAACGTGTCCATTGTTGCTCCTTGGACTGTCATTAGAGGGTCAGTGTCCATTCACTGTGCCCCAGTGGGCACTGAGGTGGGGAGGGGGTACTGAAAGGCCAGGGGCTCAGACTTGGGAGGAGAATTCCCAAGACAGGTTGGTGGGAACAGGAGGAGGGCCAAGGGGAGGCAGGAAGAGGAATGGCACGTAGCTTCCTGCTTCGGCATTGTCCTAGACGGTCTTCCTCCAGCCTAACCTGGACCTTCTGCCACCTTCGCTTTAACCTTCATTTCCTCAGTGAACCTGTTACTGGCACTCAGGGGCTCGAGCAAGCAGCTGCTGGAGGGACCTCAGGAATAGCAGCACAAAAGCCACCTGCCAGGCCTGCTGGCGTGGGGTATGTCTACAGCCAGGGCTGGGGGTTGGTGAGAGGCATGGTGGGGGCCAGCCCGAGCTCCTTCCTTAGAGACCACCACAGCTGTGCTGGGCTCCAACTTGGTCGGTTTGGTGTATGGTATTTGATACCTCGTATCTGGCCCACTGGTTAAGGGGAATTGAACCTGGGTCCCATCTCCTTTACCCACCTGAGCCCTCACTCTTAGTAAACTGCCAGCCACCGGGCCTTTCTGGGCAATGATTTGAACCTGATGTTTCCCTTTCTGCCCATGTCAACTGCCCTTCTCTCCCTGTGTCCCACACCAAAGGCTCTTCATCTTGCCACCCCCATCCCTCTGTCCTCAGGTCCCCTGTGACTTGGAACCACGCTGCCTTGGTCCTCCGTGCAGGTGACCCAAAGAGGGGAACAGCCCCTGGAGACCTCTCCGGTACTGGTTTGTTTTCTGCTTTGTTTGGGGGGTTAACTCTGGGTAAGGAGGAGGCACTTCAAGCTTCCTTCAGAGCCCCCGGAAGACAAGTGAAGCTAGACTCTCCCAAGCTAGCTTCACACACGAGACCTTGGGGCCTTTCTGTGCCTCCTCCTCACTTCTCTGCTGTTGATTTTTCAGAGCCTGTGGTTGGTTTCCCGAGCTCCCAGGAACCCACAGGGCTTTCTGTGCCTGTCCAGGTAGGGAGGGTGGACAAGCAGGTATAGGTCTCAGGCCCACAGAGCAATTCTCACAGCTCAGAGGCAGCACCAGCTCTTTGACCTAACAAGCTCCAGGAAGAATGTGTCATGATGTCAGATAGCTCACCCTGGCGCTCCCCACCAGCACTTTCCTAAACTGCCAGGCAGAGTTGGGTGCTAATTTGCTAGAACCAGCGGGGAATTAGAGGTGGCACCCAGGCGGGGGCAGCAGGAATGCTCCAGTCAGAAAGCAGGGCTGCAGGTGTCCTATTGTTCCATCTAGAAAGCCTCCTCCATCCTTGCCGTCCTCCCACCACACCTCCGTCTGTTTCCCAGGTGTGGCAGTCACCTCTGACCCCTGGCCCTGAGGAGACATAGCCCCACAGGAGAATGTCCCCAGTAACCCAGAAGTGCCTTTCGAGATGGTGGATGGTGGGCAGCCTGCAGGAGCCAGAGTAGCTGTCAACAACTGGGCTTCAGGCCTGACAGAAAGGGCCAGCGTCATAAGCTTTTGTCGTAGCTAAGACTCTGCTGGGACTCGGCTATTTGTCTAGGAATCTGGAACCCCTGGTGGAGGGGATGTTGCTCTGAGGGAGGGAAGGAGGGAGACTCGTTCTCCTATCCAGACCTGACAGGGGAGGTACAGTGACTGCGTCACTCTCCAAGGCCTCGTCCTTGTCCTCTTGGTGTCACGTCCTTGTCCCTGTCTACAGCCACACATCAGGCACAGGGCCTGGGAGGTCCAGTGAGCAGAGGGCCAGAGGTAGCTGAGCTCAGCTGAGTCCCTGTCCCCTACCTAACCTGGAACATATCTCACCCATTCCTACAGTCCCTGCTCCCGGAGTCCCTGGCACGGAGCCTAATGCCAGGCACAGAATACCAGAAGCAGCTCCTGGCTGCACAGGCGCAGCTTCAGAGTGGCACTGCTGAGCTCCAGGCTGAGCTTCTGCAGAGCCAGGCCCGGCTGGCAGAGCTAGAGGCCCAGGTGAGGGGCAGAGGGGCAGCTGGCTGTGGAGGCAGGGTTGAAATGGGAGGGTGTCACTGTGAGGGATGGAAGGCTTCCCCAGGCAGTCCAAGGGACCCAGCCTCCCCTCCTTCCACGCCGTCCCTCCCGCCGCCTCCTAGGTGCGGAAGCTGGAGCTGGAGCGGACGCAGCACAAGCTGCTACTGGAGAGTTTGCAGCAGCGACACCAGGCAGACCTGGAGCTCATCGAGAGTGCTCACAGGTACCCACCACTCCTGCCGCGGCTTCCCGAGGTGCATGGGCTGCCCCAGCCGAGGTGCCCGGAGAGGCTTCAGGTGGCCGCCCTTGCCTTCTGAGCCCCTCAGCTGGGTGTCCTGTTGGCAGAAGCCGCATCAAGGTGCTAGAAACATCATACCAACAACGGGAAGAGCGGCTGCGGAGAGAGAACGAGGAGCTGTCCACCCGGTGTCTGTCGCACTGCCAGGAAGCTGAGCAGGCTCACGCCGAGCTCACAGCCCAGCACCAGCGGCGCCTGGCAGCCACCGTGCAGGAAAAGGACCAGGAGATGGAGCGGCTCCGGGAGCTGCAGCGGTGAGGGCAAGGCCCAGGGGCAGGTGGGCAGGGGGAGCTGCCTTCGGCGGGGCCGGAGGAAGCCGATTCCCGTGAGACTCCAAGCCGTGGCTCAGCAGCCTTTGGACCGAGGCCAAGCACATTGACCCATCGCCTGCCATGAGTGGGGGGCCACGGCTCCCGCAGAGGTGGGGAGGGAGTACTCACAAGGCCCGAAGCATCACTGGCTGTTCGGGCAGGGCCTGGCAGCAGTAAGCACCCTGAGGGCTAATGAGCACAGGTTCATCCACTTACCTGCTAGACCTCCAAGTCTAGTGATAAGATGGACCCTGGAAGAGATTTGCACTGTTGTGCCTGGTGTGTGGGTCTGGTTGCCTTTCTAGATGAGAGCAGAACTAAGGAAGGGTACATAAGGGAGTTGGCTGATGAGGGCAAAGCAGGCCTTTCAACACTACACAGATTGGCCAGACACGAAAGGGTTGTTGACACCCGTGTCTTTCCTCTGTGTAAAGTGTCCTTTGCTGAGTAACGGAAGGCATCTCCCCCTTAGACAGTGGATGTGGCATTGAGGCACCAAGACAGATGGGCAGAGGAGCCAGGGGCAGCACGCGGAAGAGGAGGAGAGGGCCAGGGAGCCTCCAGAGGCACATTCCTCCCACGTGGAGCTGGCCGCAGTGTTCACTGCGCCGGCCGTGTGGGTCCTGCTCAGGTAGGCCCTCGCCTTCCTCGTTGTCCCCTCAGGGCCTCCATCCTGGAGATGCGCAAGGACCACGAGGAGCAGCTGCAGCGGCTGAAGCTGCTGAAGGACCGGGAGATTGACGCCGTCACCAGTGCCACCTCCCACACACGGTACATGCTGTCCTGGCCCTGCCCACCCCGAGGGGGTGGTGCTGGGGTCCGCAGGCCAGGGTGACCCAATTCTCCCCCAGGTCCCTGAATGGTATCATCGAGCAGATGGAGAAGTTCTCCAGCAGCCTGACTGAGCTGTCCTCCCGCGTGGAGGCCTCCCACCTCACCACCACCCAGGAGCGGGAGCTGGGGATCCGGCAGCGGGACGAGCAGCTCCGAGGTACTGAGTGGGCCGCGTGTCCCTCCTGGCTCCCCACCTTGGTGGGAAGGTGGGCAGGCAGTGAGCGCCCTGTGGGCCGCCCCCAGCACTGCAGGAGAGGCTGGGCCGGCAGCAGCGGGACATGGAGGAAGAGCGGAGCCGACTCCAAGAGGTCATTGGGAAGATGGAGGTGCGCCTGAACGAGCAGAGTCGGCTGCTGGAGCAGGTGGGGTCCCTCCTTCTGCCAGCAGAGCACTCAAGGGAATGTCAGCGGTGCTCTGATCTCTCCTCCTCAGCCTCAGGACTTTCCTCTGAAATGTCTCTCCTGGCCCTTCCTGCCTCTGCAGGGCCCCTGCTTCCACCTCCAGAAGTGCCCTCTGCCGTCTAGCCCCTCTCTGCCCATCAGCTGCCCATCACACTTTCCTTCCTGTCACTTGAATCTGTCACATCAGCTGATGCCTGTGACATTGGGAGAAATAATCTCGCCTCCTGAGTTGTAACAGATACATTTTTGAACTCCCTATATCTTTCATGTGTAAGAGCAAGCTTTATTCTTTAAAAAATAATACATTTCTTTTTTTCATGCTAGGTTATAACATGATACATTTCATTGAAAAAAATTAAAATATAGGAAACAATAGAGCCGGCCCAGTGACATAGTGGTTAAGTTCACATGCTCCACTTCAGTAGCCCGGGGTTCGCGGGTTTGGATCCTGGCATGGACCTACACACCACTCATCAAGCCAAGCTGTGGCAGTGTCCCACATACAAAATAGAGGAAGATTGGCGACAGATGTTAGTTCAGGGCCAGTTTTCATCACAAAAAACAAAAAATAAGGAAACAATAAAGAAGAAAATTAAAATCACCCACTAGCCAGAGCTAGCCACTGATGATACACATATATCCTGTAGACAATATCAATATGTAAACAGATGGTTTCATGTTGGGAACCATGTTTATCAGTCCCTCGTTTGGTGACTTTATTAAGCCCCTGCCTTGGGCCAGGCTTGTGGGTGCCCCACGTCCCCTCACACAGAGTCTCACGCCCACCCTGGTGCTCTGCCTATTGGTTGATGGGAGGCAGGCAGGCCGAGTGCTGTGGTTGGTAATTCAGGGAGCAGAAGGTGTTCTTTAGCCCTCTGGGGCCACCCAGGGCCCCTCTCAGCAATGTTCTCTGAGCCGTTAGCTTAGCCTTGGTGCAGTTCATCCCAGTCCAGGCCCCCGCAGTCCTCAGGCACCCCTCATTTTGCACCTTTCTGGAAAGCAGGTGTTTGTGGCCTAGCGTGGAAGATGTATAGGTGGGTTGGCACAGCTCCCCAGGGAGCAGTCAAGCCGTTCGGGAGCAGTCAGGCTTGAACGGCAGTGGGTGGAGTGTCAGGGAGCGTGCTCTCAGCCCTGACCCGGCCCGCAGGAACGCTGGCGGGTGAGTGCCGAGCAGTCCAAGGCAGAGTCCACGCAGCGTGCTCTAGAGGAGCAGAGGAAGGTCATGGTCCAGCAGATCGCCATGGAGCGGGAGGAGTTGGAGAGGGCCAAGGTGAGTCCAGCCACACTGTTCAGCTGCTGTCCCTGCCGTTATGCCCAAGGATGCTCACTGTGTGCCCTCGTCCCAGAGTGCCTTGCTGGAAGAGCAGAAGTCTGTCATGCACAGGTGTGGAGAGGAGCGGCGGCGCCTGGCGGCCGAGTGGGCTGAGTTCTTTGCACAGCAGAAGCTGAGTAAGGAGCGGGCCGAGCGTGAGGCAGAGCGGGCGCTGCAGGTGGATACCCAGCGGGAGAGCACCCTCATCAGCCTGGCCAAGGTAGGGCCCAGGGCTGCCAAGACAGCAGGCAGCCCGGGCAGCCCTGTCCCTTCCCCAGCCCTCACCATCTGCTCCTCCATCGGGTTGTATCAGCTCGGCAAAGAGCACGGCAATAACGAGAGGAATTAAGACAACAATAATCACATAAGAATAACAACTTCCTTTTATTGTCCTAGGTGCTTTATGCACCTTTGCTCATTCAATCCTTATCACATTCCATGACTTAGATGTTCTAGAAATGAGGAAATGGGGGTTCAGAGAATTTGAGCCCAGGGTTGAAGGGCAACACTGCAACTTAGCCGCAGGCCTCTCTGGCTGGTCCTCGGACCCTCTTGCCCCACCCAGAGTCAGGGTGAAGCCAAGCTACAGCAGTGAGGCAGGGCAGGCCAGGGGGGTCCTCAAACCCTGAGCAGAGCCCAGTTCAACTAAGAGGAGAATGCAGCGAAAGCTTTGCTGTCTCCAGGAGCAGGCGGAGCTAAAGATCAGGGCAAGCGAGCTCCGGGCCAAGGAGGACCAGCTGGCGGCTGAGAGGGAGGCCCTGGAGCGGGAGCGGCAGGAGCTGCGGCTGGAGAAGGAGAGGGTCAGCGCCGCCGCCCTGCGCACACGGCTCCGCTCCGAGGAGGTGGAGAGCATGAGCCAGGTGCCGGGCAGCTGAGCCCTGGACGTGCCGGGGGCGCAGGCAGTGCACTGACCCCAGCCAGCCTACTGACCCAGGCAGCCTCCCCACAGGTGGCCTCAGAGAAGTATGAGGAGGGGGAGCGGGCGTTGCGCGAGGCCCGGCAGGTGCAGTCAGAGCAGCAGGCCCGACTACAGCTGGTGCAGCAGCAGCAGGAGCGGCTGCGGCAGCAGGAACAGCACGTGCACCAGGCAAGGCTCCTCCCCACTCTGGCTCCCCCACCCCCGCCAACCCCACCAGCCTCCCATTCCCACGGCTGTGTCCTTCTGCTCTGCGGACAGGAGCATCTGAGTCTGGCCCAGCAGAGGCTGCAGCTGGACCATGTCCGACAGGACCTGCCTTTTGGCCCCATGGGGCTGCTCCCCAGGACCCAGGGCCTGGCAGCCTCTGGCCTGAGTGGTAAGTGGCTCCAGAAGGATGAGATATTGGCTCGGCCAGCCCACTGGACAGGGCAATGCCAGGAGCATCCTGCCCACCCTTCCCGCTTCTCAAGTTAGTGGGGTCAGCTGGGTTTTATTTTTTTATTTATTTTTTAAGGTTTTTTTTTGTAAGTTTTTTCTTTTTTTAATTTATTTATTTTTTTGTGAGGAAGATCAGCCTTGAGCTAACATCTGCCAATCCTCCTGTTTTTGCTGAGGGAGATTGGCCCTGGGCTAACATCCGTGCCCATCTTCCTCCACTTTATATGGGACGCCGCCACGGCACGGCCTGACAAGCGGTGCCTTGGTGCGCACCTGGGATCCGAACCCGGCCGCCTGCAGCAGAGTGCACACACTTAACCGCTACGCCACGGGGCTGGCCCCCTCAGCTGGGTTTTAAAGTCAGCTTATTTCTTTTTTACATAAGTAATGCATGTTAATTATAAAAAAATAAGTCAGAAATAGAAGGAAAATTATTTTAAAAAAATCACCCTCGGGGCCGGCCGGGTGGCGCAAGTGGTTAAGTGCGCACGCTCTGCTGCTGCGGCCCGGGGTTCACTGGTTTGGATCCCAGGCGCGCACCGATGCACCGCTGGTCAAGCCATGCTGTGGCAGCGTCCCATATAAAGTAGAGGAAGATGGGCACGGATGTTAGCCCAGGGCCAATCTACCTCAGCAAAAAGAGGAGGATTGGCAATAGATGTTAGCTTAGAGCTGATCTTCCTCACAAAAAAAAAAAGAAAAAAATCACCCTCAATTCCACTCTCTCAAGAGAACCACTTTTGACATTCTGGTGCGTGTTTTTGAAAACAAAATTGAGATCGTATCATATGTTGTTTGTACCTTGATTTTTTTCATTCAGAAATATACATATAGAACGTGTTTTCATGTCAGTAATTAAATATTTAACCATAATTCTCAATCAGTGTAATTTTCCATTAGGAGGCTGCTCCTTATTTTTACTGCTTCCCAACTGAGTGATTTGCCACTAAGATAAACAGCACCTCAGTGGAAATCTTTGTCTATATATCTCTGCACCTTTGCCCAGTTATTTCCCTTGAATAAATTCCTAGAATTGGACATGCCAGGTAAGATCCCATGCGCATTTTTTTTTTTTTTTTTGTGAGGAAGATCAGCCCTGAGCTAACATCTGCCAATCCTCCTCTTTTTTTGCTGAGGAAGACTGGCCCTGGGCTAACATCCGTGCCCATCTTCCTCCACTTTATATGGGACGCCGCCACAGCATGGCTTGCCAAGCGGTGAGTCGGTGCGCGCCCGGGATCCGAACTGGTGAACCCCAGGCCGCCGCAGCGGAGCGCGCGCACTTAACCGCTTGCGCCACCGGGCCGGCCCACATGCACATTTTCAAAGGCTTCTGGGCGTTGGTGGATGTGCTCCCTCGTGTCCCCCCCCACCCCTGCCCCCCGCAGTGGTGAGCAGGCCCCGGGGAAAAAGCTGTGGCCATCCCGTTCTCCCACCGACACTTCAGTCCCTGACTTTCTACTCAGCCTTTTCAGCCATCGTGGCTCCTGCTCCCACCGCTCCTCAGTGTAGCCAGCCTCCGGCCCGCCTGGGCCCCTCATACCTCCACGCCAAGCTGGTGCTGCTGAAACACACAGCTGAGCAGGTGAGTGTCCCAGAGCAGAGGCCAGGCCAGCCCAGGCCCGCCTGCTCTCCGTGGCCCCTCTGTGGTCCTCGAGTTCACGGTGATGACAAAGCAGCTCAGAGCAGAGGCAGGAAGGAACACCTCCTGGCCCTGGGAGGGCTAGCCCACCCCCTGAAGAAGAAGAGTAGTATGATTGCTAAGTGAACATCTCTGAGATCTGTCCTGTAAGCCAGGTTCTGTACGAAGCAGTTTGCAGATATCATGTCAGTTGAACCTCACAACAACTCTGTGTTCATGTAATGATAGCACTTGTCACTTATGGAGCACTTCCTGGGCGCCAGGCTCTGTGCTGAAAGCTTTATGTGCATAATAAGCCTTTACCCTCCCACAGCCCTGCGAGTCAGGTAATGTTGTTATTTCTAGTCTAGACAGGCTTAGAAAGATGAAGTCATGCTAACAAGTGGCCTCGCCAGGACTGAGACCCGCTCTGCCTCACTCCAGTGCGCGTGCTCTTTCCTTGCCCCCGCTGCATCCCAGAGCCAGGCAGAGCCAGGGAGTAAGTGGGGAGGGGGCCCCCGAGTGAGGGCTGGCTTGGCTAGCACCGAGGGGTCCTCCTTGCTCTCAGTCCTGTGAGCCAGTGTCCGTGTTCACAGAAGTGGGTACAGGAAGGAGCCAGGGGGTGACTGCTCACCCAGCTCTGCCTTTCAGGACCGTGACTTCTTGGAGAATGAACAGTTCTTCCTGGAGACCCTGAAGAAAGCCTCCTACAATATGACATCACATTCAGCCTGAAGGGCCTCACTGCCTCCTCAATGGAGGCCTCAGACCCGAGAACTCTCTCCCATCGCCCCGCTGGCTGCCAGCTCCAAGGAGGAGGTGCCCAGGGAAAGCTCTGCGATGCCCAGGGCCTGATTACAGCTCTTTCTGTGGACAGAGTACAAGTGTTCTTTCTGAGTGCTCCAGCCCGGAGGGTTCAAGACACAACGGCCTCTGGGGAAGCATGACACCAAAGGTGTCTCAGTCCCACAACACTGTCGGCCACGGCTTTGGCTCCCTTGCCCACATATGTCCGGCTCAGATCCGAGGGTCTGACTGGGCTCTGGGTCTCTCCCCTCCTTGTCAGGCAGAGGGTTTGTGGATCTTTTCTCCTGGGCCTCTTCTGAGGCAGGGGGTCTTGAGGGATGCCACAAGCAGCCTCTTGCCCTCCCCGCCTGAGAGTCTCGCAGACAGCACAGGGTCTCCTCCCTAATGGGGACATAGAGTCAGGCCATACATTTTGAAGGGCCTTCTAGCCTCAGGGCCGAGGGGGTGGGACGTGATGCGGGGGCAGTGAGGGTGCCACACCCAGCCAGGTTTTCTCTCGAAGTCTGACAGGCTCTTGGGACTCAGCCAGCCCTCCGTGCTCTCAGGTTGGCTCACACACAGTCCCCGCCTTGTTCCCAGCTGCCTGATAACTGACTTGCTCCACGGACGCTGACCTCATCGGCTTCTTCTAAGAGGCTCCCCAGAGGCAGGAGTAGGGGCCTGTGGGTGACGGTGGGGGTGTGAGGAGGGACAAGAGAGAAGGCGTCTCTCTGGCTGTTCACCTGTCATGAAGCCACAGCCAAGTGCAAATGATGATAGAGCAAGAGACTCTGCCCTGGGAGGATACACAGCGCTGGGGAACCGTGAGGGGCTGCACCCAGACTGCGGCCTGGTGGGGGTGGCCTTTACTTTTCTCCACGTGTAGGTGGTGGGCCAAGTCCAGTTGGAAGGGTGCCAGGAGAGGGGCAGGGAGGTTGGTAGTTGTCCCCAGCTGACCCAAGGACAGATGGACTCAACTAATAAAATCACAGTTACTTCTAAAGAGGCTTCTCTCAGCAATTTATCACCTTCCATCAGAGGAAAACATCCGAGTGAGCAAGCAGGAAGACAGAGGAGCACAGTGCTAAGAGGGTGTGAGCGGGCACAGTCTGGGTCTCTGCTCTTTCAGAATGACTTTCAGAGCGATCTTATTTCTTTACCAACAATTTACAGTCTTCTTCTTGGACCCATTAAATTGCTGTATTCTTAATGACTGGATCCTTACAATTTGCTATGGCTCATCAGAGTTTGTACTTATTTCTTAAAAATGTTTTCTCTGTAGCACTGTATTTGCTGTGAAACTGACGGGCTGGAACCCTCCAGTCCTACAATCTCCATGCCTGCTGCTGGACCACAGCCAGGAGAAGGGAATGGTTATCACCCCCACTTCACAGATGAAGAGACTGAGGCTCAGTCTCAATAATCTGCCCAGGGTGACACAGCAAATGGCAGAGCCTGAGTTTGAGTTCTGCTTGGGCAGATTCCAAAGCCCCAGGCGCTCAGCCACATCACTCCGTTGCCTCCTTCTAGAAGAGCATGCCACATACAGTGCTATCGTGCAGTAGAAGATCTCCAAGCTGCTGCTTGGATTGGCACCTACACTGAGGAGAGATGCATCAGGGGTCTCCTTAGAAGCCTTGTTGAGGGGCCGGCCTGGTGGTGTAGTGGTTAAGTTTGCATGCTCTGCTTCGGTGGCCTGAGGTTCATAGGTTCAGATCCCGGGCATGGATCTACACCACTCATCAAGCCATGCTGTGGCGGCATTCCACATACAAAACAGAGCAAGATGGGCACAGATGTTAGCTCAGGACTAGTCTTCCTCACCAAAAAAAAAGAAGCCTTGTTGAAGCTTGGAAGTCGGTTCTTCTCTCAACATGTGCTCAACAAGTTCCCACCTGTGGGGAGAGCTAGAGGGTTCTAAGGATGGGCACAGCCCGGGTGCAGCTGGCATTTAAGCAGTCACCTGATGGGTGTGTGGGCAATCACAGCACATGTTGGGAGGATGCAGGGAGACCCCCAGGGAGCTTGGGCTTCAAGACAGAAATGAGTTTAGAATTAGGGAGCAGGTCCTTACAGCTTTGTATATCTTGTGAAAGAGTTTGACGTTTTATCTTCAGGGCAGTTGGTATTCATTGAAAAGTTTTAAGGAGGGTAGAACCATATTTGCATTTTAGAAAACCAATTGTGGCTGTGAGTGGAGAGCAGACAGGAGGGAGCAAGAGTGGGGACAGGGAAGCCATCAGAAGGTTGCTTGCAGTGGTGCAAGGGAGACTGAAGACAGCACTGTACTGGGCATGGCAGCAAGGGGTCACAGAAAAGTGACCGCACAGGACTGGTACCTGACATGGAGGATCAGGAAGGAAGATGTGTCAAGGAGGACCCCCAGCTTTCTGGCTTGGGCAACTGGGCGGTGTCACTCAGATGACACCAGTGCCCATCAAACAGCCGAGTGAAGACAGTCCACAGGCACTTGGTTGTAATGACACTTTACACAGTGCCTATAACTGCTCTGTCACTGTCCCTGGCATTAAGGTGTGGCAGCTAGCTTACTTATCCCTTTATGTCAACTTTCTCCCAGGCCATATATGGCAGAGGGCTGCACACAGGAATGAGTGTTGTATATCTGCTGGTCTTTCTTTTTCTGTTCAAAATTGTAAACAACTCCTCAAGGTCATGACCCAGATGCTTAATTCAGTTCCCTGTAGAGAGAGAGATGGTGGTGGAAAGTAACAATGATGAAAGACACTGGTGGGGCCATTACTTCCAGTTTCAAGAGTTATGTTTAATGTTTCAAGTTGTTACATGTGGGAATCCATGCTAGGCCTTTCAAACAGTTCAGTTCCAAGCAATCCCCACTCTTAGAGGGTTCTAGAACAGCGAGAGAACAAGAACATTTCTCAAAAGTGAGGACTACTGGAGAAATAACAGCCACAGGGTCAACCAGCAAGGCCCATGCCTCTGGCCCTCGAGGGCCTGTGCGTCTTCATTTGTAGAGGGGCAGCTACCGTGGGTGAGGCATGTAGAAGAGGATTCAGACACAAAAGATAAAATAGCAAAGGAGGCCAGATGTAAACACACTCAGAACATTGAGAAGCCATGAGCCCCTGTGCTCCGACTTGCCTGCAGCACAGTCAAGCCTGCCCACGGCCTTCAGTTCTGCCATACATTCAGCAGGATTTCACAAATTAATAAGTAACGCCTCCTTAAGGGCAGCACTGAGTCTTACTGGCCTTAACACATAGTAGGTGCACACTGATGGGTGAAGTGGCAGTGATGGTGAGAGGTCTAGCTGTTTGGCTGCTGTTCATGAAAACCAAGTTCAAGGTGTGGCCGCTTCCTGAAGGATGGAGAGCCACCTCATCCCATCTTAGTGTGTGTGTCAAGCTTCTGCTAGTACCAGAGCAACTGACTGGTCACTAGCCCTGGCTTGGAACATCAGGGAAGGCTTCCTGGAGGCACCACTGCACAGGACTGGGAGGTAGTCAGGCCACAGGGGAAAAGGTGAAGAGTGGAAGGCAGAAGTGACAGCATGTACAAAGGTCCTGTGCCCCAGGGAGTGAACTGCTGGTTTGGTGTCATGGAAGCTTGAGTTCCAGTTCAGAGGGGTGATGGTGCTCAGGGCAAGCTGCCCCAGGAAGCACCACTCTGGTATGCGGATTATTTCGAGCTGAAGACAATAAGGACATTTGAGCTCCCCCACTAACTGCCTAAAAAATTTGACATGGTGGCTCCTTCCTGGAACAGATCTTCTATCATGATGGCTGTAAAGATAATGTAGGATAAATGTTACAATAGGAAAGGCACCAAGCCTCTTTTATCAAAGGCTCTGTCTCTCCCTGACCACATTATCTATAGATGACCCTGAAAAGAATTGTCTTCCTGCCCTCTGAAGTCCCAGGCCACTACCCGCCCCCAACACGCTCCTCACCTTTAGCTGCAATACTTAAGCAAGCAGCTTAGACAGAGGGACGAGTTGCTCATTTCTGAGTTTCTCCCATGTATACATGTTATTAAACTTGGTATTATTTTCTCCTGCTAACTTGTCTTGTTGATTATTTGGCCAGCCATAAGAACCTTAAGGGAAAGGGCAGAGGGAGATTCCACCTTTTCCCCCGACAGGGGCAAGCGTAGAAGGGGGTCCAGATCACCTGGGGTACCAAGATTTATCTTGTTAGAACTGGATTCCAAGAGCAACACAGCCTTGGAAGGGTTTAGACAGAGACACTGTCTTAACCAGTCGCTTATGCTGCTGCGTGGATAATGGTAAACTGGAGGTGATCAAAAGCTAACACATATACCACAGTAAGTGCTTTATTATGTTCATTCATTTAATCCTTCTAACAACCCTATGAGGTCAGCACTATTATTACATGCTTTTTTTCAAAATGAGGAGACTGTAAGGGCGACAGGAAGGTCACAGTCTGGAATTTGAACCCAAGCAGCCTGATTCCAGAATCCGTGCTCGCACCCCCTCCCCCACCTGTGCTGCTGCACCCCTGGGGGGCTCAGGATGCCGCCCTCAGGGGTTGGGTGAGTTCTCCGAGAGCAGCATCCGCCAGTCGGGGCTGCCCGGCCCGGCCGACCGCTCCCGGTCTGTGCCGCCCCCTGGTGGCTGGCCGCGGATAGGGACCCGGACCGCTCACAGCTCCGGCCCGCCGTCCAACGGGCCCTTCCGGAACCTCCCGCCCAGAGCCCGAAGCCGCTTCCGGCCGGGAGGAAAAGACTCGGGGCTTCCGGGAAGGAGGAGTCTGTGGCCTGGGCGGAGGCGTGGCTCCTAGGTGGCAGGGCGGGGTCAGACGGGGGCGGGACCTCCGCGGTGCGCTCAGGCGCTGCTACGGCCACCTCTGCTGGGTCCTAGGAGCGGAAGCGGCGGCGCTGACCTAAGGAAAGATGGCGGCGCCCTGGTGGCGAGCCGCGGTGTACGGAGGTCGGAGGTGGCGGTGCTTCAGCACCTCGGGTGAGGGGTCTGGGGTTGGGGAGCTCTTGGAGGTCCCCATATAGCCCGAACCCTGGGGCTCCAGCCAGCGCCCGCCCCCGGCCTCTGTTTCTGATGTCCCGCTCTCTGCCCGCAGGCACCCTGAGCCGCCGGACCGCCCCTCTGGGGCCGATGCCCAACGAGGACATCGATGTGAGCAACCTGGAGCGGCTGGAGAAGTACCGCAGCTTCGACCGCTACCGGCGCCGGGCGGAGCAGGAGGCGCGAGCCCCGCACTGGTGGCGGACCTACCGGGAGCATTTCGGGGAGGAGTCAGGTGCGGGGCGACCGGAGCAGGGGCTGTGGGCACCGGTGTTGGGACTCGCGGGGCCCCACCGGCGTCCTCCTCGAGCACTGGGGGAAGGGGCCTGCCTGCCTCCCCGTATGCACTGTTGGCGGTTTAGTCTCCTCGGGTTTTTTCACACCTTTTGGTCCCCCTGCTTGGAACAGTTTCTTCCCTCACTATTAGAGTTCCACGTTAGTTATTTCTACTCCTAAAATGTTTTCCTGACCGCCCCCCACCCCCGATTCCGGGTTAGAACGCCCCTCTGTGCTCCTAAAATACTCTGTATGTAGCCCTGGCCACACTGTATCCTGACTTTCTTTTCGCTGCCTCCCTCCCAGATTGTGAGCTTCCTAAGGACAGGGATCTGCCTGTTTTGACCACCATTGGATCCTTGCACCCACACGGTGCCTGGCACATAGGTGTGCAATACTTTGCTGAATGAATTTTGAAAGCCCTGGGCAAGGTGACTCAGGGACCGTGCCCTTGAGCAACTCACACTTACTGAGTGCATCCTTTTGGAAAGCATTTCCGGAGGCAATTTTTATGGTGGTTCAGGGCACAGATATGGAATATGGAATCTACATAGCCTGATTTAAACCCAAGTCAGCCTCTTTGGAGTGACTTCTCCTAGCTTCAGTTTCCTTAAGTGTAAAATAAAATAATTGTGTCTGTGTCACAAAATTGCTGTGAGGTTTAAAAGATACAGTCCATTGGAATTCTTAGAAAAATGCTATCCCTGATGAGGGTTCAATGCATGTTACTTGTTACTGTCTAATGTAAGTGAGAAAAGGTGTTGGATTGCAAGTGTTTTAGGGCCTTGCTACTCAAAGTGTGTTCCGGGACCAGCAGCATGGGCATTACCTAGGAGCTTGTTAGGAATGCAGAGTCTCAGGCTCCGCTCTGATGTGTGGTGATTTAGAATCTTGAATTTTAACATACTTCCCAGGTAACTTGTATGGTTTGTCCATTAAAGTGTGAGAAGTGCTTCTTTATGTCCTTCTAGCTTCAGCTATTAATTTTGTGAAGGTGTGACAGGCTTGAAGGTGATCCCAACTATAATTGGGATGACGATCTACCTCAGTTTCCCGTGACCTAGACTGACAGTGTGCCCTGGTTTGGGGATCAGAAAATGCAATCTCAAGTTGTATTCAGTTTGCTTAGCTACTGGACCCTGTCCAGGTCTGTGGAGCAGACTGCACGGTATGTTTTAGTTTTGTGAATTAAAGGGTAAGCTTTAGCAGCAGAGCTTGGGCGAGTGAGAGGACTAGGTAGGCACAGGTGGCTTAACTGAGACTTGATCCCACTTTCTCCAACACATCTTCCCTCCCCAGATCCCAAAGACAAGATTGACATTGGGCTGCCCCCACCCAAGGTCTGCCGGACCCAACAGCTGCTGGAGCGGAAACGGGTCCTCCGGGAGCTGCGGGCCAGCGTGGAGGAGGAGCGGGCCGCCCGCCTCCGCACAGGTAAGCCCTCCCAGGGGAGAGGGCCCCTGTAAGTCACTGCCCCAACCCTGCATCCCAACTGGCATCATTCCTTTCCAGCGAGCATCCCACTGGAGGCTGTGCGGGCCGAATGGGAGAGGACCTCTGGCCCCTACCACAAGCAGCGTTTGGCCGAATACTACGGCCTCTATCGAGACCTGTTTCATGGTGCCACCTTCGTGCCCCGAGTCCCCCTGCACGTGGCTTATGCCGTGGGTGAGGACGACTTGATGCCTGTGTACCACGGCAATGAGGTCACTCCAACTGAGGTAACTGCTGGCTTGTGCCCCTCCCTGCCCCCTGTGCACAGACACATCCTACCACACAGCCACACACAACTCCTTTTTGAAAGCATTTGTAGAGGCAGTTTTTATGGTGGTTAAGGGCACAGGCATGGCATCTATGCAGGCTGAGCTGCAGTTTTGTTGTTCTCTGTCTCCTCTTTTTGACTTCCTGGCAAACACCACCATAGTAATTACAAAGAAAAGACTATAAAACGAAAGAAAAAGAAGCTCCATCTTGGTGTACTTCTGTGACTGGCCTGCTGTCTTGAGAGTGCCTTCCAAGCCCCTGTCCATTGACACGTAGGCCTTCTTGTGGTTCAGATCTCCAGATGGGCAACCCTGCAGGCTTCCTTCTTTAAGCCTCTCTTTGCTGATCTCCTTGTGAGGGGCTGCCAAAGGCATTTCGATCAAAGTGGGCTCTCCCTTCTCCAAGGCTCCCTCAGGCTCCTGCCCTCCAGAAAGAAGGTCTGTTTACAACAGCTTGTCTGTCCCTGGTGACATGACAGCTCCCCCATTCTCTGCCTATCAGGCTGCCCAGGCCCCAGAGGTGACCTATGAGGCAGATGAGGGCTCCATGTGGACACTGCTGCTCACCAACTTGGGTAGGTGTCTCCGGCTCATGGGGCCTCCTGCCTCCCTCACCTCCCATGAGCTAGGGTCCTGGGGCGCTGGGGGAGGGGCCGGGTAGAGAGCTCCAGTCCCAGCTGCTTCCAAGGAAGCGGGTGAGAGGGGCCCGCAGTCAGTGGGGTCTGTTTGTGTGCAGATGGACACCTGCTGGAGCCGGATGCCGAGTACCTCCACTGGCTGGTGTGAGTACCTGGGCGGGGAGTGGGTCAGAGGCATGCAAGGAGGCCCCAGCATCCCAGAAAGAGCTGCATCTGAATTTCAGTTTTGGCTCCACCGAGGATTAACCATGGGACTTTGGATTAACCTCTCACCCCAGGAGGTGGCCCCTTACTTCTGCCTCCTGAGGCCCTATGTCAGGGGCCCTGTGATCCAGTGGCTGAAGACAGGTATAGAAGAAAAAAAGCAGGCAGTGGGCCTTGGTCGCTCGCACAGGCCTCTTGGTCTCCCTGAACTCATTTCCCCACCTGTAAAACTATGATGATGCTACCACATGCCTTAGCCACCCTGAGGGGCTCTGTGACAATCAAATGGAAAAAAGACCATGAGAGGCCTCTGGCAGCTGTGACCTGCCCAGGCTGGGCTGCCTTTTGTTTTCTCAGTGGCCGTTGGCTCTGAGCACCAGGCCAGGGGGCAAAGGTCAGGCAGGTGACCCCAGCTTTGGGCCTTCTGGGTGATCGGGGCCAGTGACTGGGAGGCTGGTTTCTGTCATATTTATTCAACTGCAGTTACCAACCTGTGCAGCAGGACCCTCTGGGGAGTTGTCCCTGGGGCAGGTACAGTGGCCATCCCGGTGCCGGGCTGGGCAAACACTCCTCGACAAACCCCAGAGCCTTCAGGAAATGGAAAGAGAAGCAGCCCAAAGGTGGCGTGGTTTCCAGCCTGGATGGCTGTGGCAGCCCCACCAGGTCCCCAGGGTGCTCAACCTTGTTATCATCCTGAGAGTCTCTGGGACGCTTGTCCTCAGCCTCTGAGCCCCTCCTGCTCCCTTCACAGGTTTACCGTCTGTCCGAGGTTCACAGAGCTTACCTCCTACTTGATTGTACGACACAGATCAGTCTAGGGTCTGTCCCCCAGGGAGTTGTTATCAGTCTCCAGGGAGTGGGTGGGGATGCTCCTGCTGTCACCTCCCTCAGGTGGAAATTAATGGATACTTTTCCTCCCACCAGAACCAACATCCCGGGCAACAGGGTGGCTGAAGGACAGGAGACATGTCCCTACCTGCCCCCCTTCCCTGCTCGAGGCTCCGGCTTCCACCGCTTTGCCTTCCTACTCTTCAAGCAGGACAAGCCGATTGACTTCTCCGGGGACACCCGGCCCTCACCCTGGTAATCTAATCTACACCCCACACACACATCCCCCCCAGGGCCTCAGGCCAGCTTCCCAGAAACAGTCGATCTTGCTCAGTTCTGCTTTTTCTTAACATAGGCTTTGAGACAGGCAGAAGGGTAGTTGTGCTGGGCAGACCCTAAGAGGCTTCTCAGGATTGCCTGTTGGGCTGGAGGTAGGGTGTGAGGCTCTGGTGCCCTCCTCCCCACTCAAAAGTGCTCCCCATCTTCTTATAGCTACCAGCTTGCCCAGCGGACCTTCCACACTTTTGATTTCTACAAGAAACACCAGGAAGCCATGACTCCAGCTGGCCTAGCCTTCTTCCAGTGCCACTGGGATGACTCGGTCACCCAGGTCTTCCACCAGCTTCTGGGTAAGGGCAGAGTGGGTTGGAGGAGAGGACAGCTGGTCTGAGCTCACAGACCTCTTCTGACCTGCCAGGAACAAGTGCTTGTCAGGGGAGGGGCACCGGGAGGCATGTTGCTCCTCGGGTGAGCTGGCTGGGTAGTCCCATCCTGGGCCCAGCCTAGGAGACAAGGAAGAGGGGCTCAGGCTGGCAGCAGCCCACACCTGCACCCCCTCACTCTTCCTGCAGACATGCGGGAGCCTGTGTTTGAGTTTGTGTGGCCACCTCCTTACCACCCCGAGCAGAAGCGCTTTCCCCACCGGCAGCCCCTGCGCTACCTGGACCGGTACAGAGACAGTCATGAACCTACCTATGGCATCTACTGAGTGGCCACAGTGCCACACACCTCAGAGTGGCTGGGCCTCTCAGGCCACCCTGTCAGGCTCTGCCAGCAGGAGCAATAAAGACACAGCTTCACGGGACCAAGCTGTGGGGTTCTAGGCACTGCCTGAGGCAGCCCTTCTGCAGCCCTCCCAGCAGGCCCAAGGCTTAGGAGGGAAGAGGGCTCTCAGGGGGTGGCGGTGGGTGTGGGAGATGTGAATAAAAATGATTCTGCTGTAGCTGGTCTGGGTCTGTGTTCCAGGAGCAGCCAGAGCACCCCCTGGTGGAGTTGTATTGCTTCATGGGTGGGGAAAGGGCTGCCTCCCAGCCCAAGAGGTGACCCCTCACCTCTGCCTTCAGAGGGTGTCAGGGTCCTTGTGATCCAGCGGCTGAAGACAGGTACAGAAGAAAAGCAGGCGGTGGGCCTTTGGCTGCTCCTACAGGCCTCTTTCTTCACAGAGACTTGCCAGCCCTGATCACTGGCCCTTTGCGTGGTGTTCACAGCATAGTGGAGGCTCCTCGCCTTGGGCCAGGATGCTTTGGATGAGGAGGCCTGTGAGGCCGGATGATTGCAGGTCTCCAGATACCTGTGGGCACACCCCCTGCTCGGGGCCCAGAAAGCCCCTGTGCCCTTAGTGGATGGTCAGGGTATTTATTTCCCCTCTCTAAAGGAAAAGACTACCTACTAGCCAGTCAAGAGGAGATCTGTGCGCAGGAAGAGAAACTTCCCAGAAGACATTATGCTTGCTGCATGGCAGTGAGAGGGCACGCTGCCTCAAAGTCAGGCCAGATCGGTTAGAAAGAAAGAGTTAACCCTTCTCCTAGTTGCCCTGGCCCAGCACACTGCCCCAGGGCAGGTGGGTCAGCAGTCAGCACCCCTCTGCCTTGCTCAGCTGCAGGGGAACCGCCTCTCTGAAAAGTGAGGTTCCAGAACAGCTTAGACCTGCAAACAAGGAACTCTCCCCATTAGAGGGCTGACACTGAGAGGGGATTCCAGGTGCAGTTGAAGATTGCATTGGGTTTCCATTAAAGGAATGTATGAAAAAACCACTATCTGTTAACTGGTCTCTGTCTGTTAACTGGTCTCTCTTGGTGACCAGAAATTTCCACCTCACTGTTTCCTTTATTTTTTTATTTATTTTTTTGTGAGGAAGATTAGCCCTGAGCTAACATCCATGCCAATCCTCCTCTTTTTGCTGAGGAAAACTGGCCCTGGGCTAACATCCGTGCCCATCTTCCTCCACTTTATATGGGATGTTGCCACAGCGTGGCCTGACAAGCGGTGCCTCGGTGCGCGCCCTGGGTCCCAACCCGGCCGCCAGCAGTGGAGCGCACACACTTAACTGCTATGCCACGGGCTGGCCCTTCACTGTTTATTTTACTTTATTTTATTATTACTTTTTGTGTGTGTGAGGAAGATCAGCCCTGAGCTAACATCCATGCTAATCCTCCTCTTTTTGCTGAGGAAGACCACCTCTGAGCTAACATCTATTGCCAATCCTCCTCCTCTTTTTTTTACCCCCCCCAAAGCCCCAGTACATAGTTGTATGTCATAGTGGCACATCTTTCTAGTTGCTGTATGTGGGATGCGGCCTCAGCGTGGCCAGAGAAGCGGTGTGTCAGTGCGCGTCTGGGATCCGAATGTGGGCCGCCAGTAGCGGAACGCGCCCACTTAACCGCTGAGCTGTGGGCCGGCCCTCACTGTTTATTTTTTTATTATTATTATTTCTTGTGTGTGTGAGGAAGATCAGCCCTGATCTAACATCCATGCTAATCCTCCTCTTTTTGCTAAGGAAGACCACCTCTGAGCTAACATCTATTGCCAATCCTCCTCGTTTTTTTTCCCCAAAGCCCCAGTAGATAGTTGTATGTCATAGCTGCACATCCTTCTAGTTGCTGTATGTGGGACGCGGCCTCAGCATGGCTGGAGAAGCAGTGCGTTGGTATGCGGCCGGGGTCTGAACCCCGGGCCGCCAGTAGCGGAGCGCACGCACTTAACCGCTAAGCCACGGCGCTGGCCCCCTCACTGTTTATTTTAAAAGAATGAAAATTAGGTGTAGCCTAAAGAAGGGAGACACCCCAATCTGGCAAATGCCTGAAACTCAGCTCCAGAAAAAGTGTAGCAGAGCACCTCGGGTCAGGAGAGCATTTACTGAGCACTAGCTGTGTGCCCTGGGCTTTTACTGCCGGGTATTCTCACAGGCACTGTCTCATTTGACCGCCAAAACCCCTGGGAAGTACATGCTGCTGCTTTTATTATATATTCAGATGAGGGGCCCAGAAGGTGGTGGCCAGGGGACGGGATCAGGTTCCCGAGGCTCTTGCCTCTAGAAGCTGGGGCCGGATCCCCTGCACATGAAGAGTGTAGGGAAGCGGGATGGAGTTCTCAGGGTGGGTCTGGACAGCAGGAGAGAGCTGGACCCCAACTCCCAGGCTGGGGTGGCTCAGAGCCTCGGGGTGGGGAGGCGGGGCACGTAGAGAAGCCAGGCCTAGGCAGGGGCGGAGCCGGAAGGCGCTGGGAGTGGCAGCTGCTCCGGGGGTCATGGAAGGAGGGGTGTCACGTTAGTCTCCATAGGCGGGTCCTCGCACCTCCCCGCCACACCCACCCTGGCCGCCCGGTGGGGCTCGCGGCTGCCCTTCCCCAGCGCGGCCCGGCCCGCCCGCCGCCCGCCGCCGCCATGGCCGCTCAGCTGCTGGAGGACAAGCTGACCTGCGCCATCTGCCTGGGGCTCTACCAGGACCCAGTGACGCTGCCCTGCGGCCACAACTTCTGCGGGGCCTGCATCCGGGACTGGTGGGGCCGCCGCGACAAAGCATGCCCAGAGTGCCGGGAGCCCTTCCCCGACTGCGCCCAGCTGCGCCGCAACGTGGCGCTCAGCAGCGTGCTCGAGGTGGTGCGCCCCGGGCCCGCCCCCGACCCCAGCCCCGCCTCGGACTCTGGACCCGGCCCCGGACCCCGACCAGCCCCGGACCCTGGTGCGCGCTGCCCCCGGCACGGGCGGCCGCTCGAGCTCTTCTGCCGCACCGAGGGCCGCTGCGTGTGCAGTGCGTGCACCGTGCGGGAGTGTCGCCTCCACGAGCGAGTGCTGCTGGACGCCGAGCGCCGGGAGCGCGAGGTGACACACCGGGGTATCCCGCCCTGCTCTGTCTGTGCGCCCGGGCAGGGGCGGGCAGCTTAAGCAGGAGGTGGCTTTGGGATGTTTATATTCCAGATAAAAGGAGGTGGTGGTCAGAAAACACGCTTGGAATAGAGATTCCAGAGCTGGTGACAGGCCCAGAGTGAGGTCACAGGAGTGAGTGGCTGAGATGGAGTGAAGGAAAGGGCTCTGCAGGTGAGGTGGTCAAGGAGCCGAGAGCCAGAGTGTTGGAGGGTAAAACCCCTGTGACTGCTCAAGTCACAGAGAGTGAGAAGGAGATGTTCCCGCTTCCAGCACCCAGGCCTATGCACCAAGCATGAAAGTCTGCAGTGGAGGCCAGTAAGGACAGCAACAAGGGGGAGGGAGCACAGGCGGTACAACCGGACGGCACGTGGGCTGGAGGAGCTGGAATTTTGCTAAAGGGATTTGAGGGGACAGATGCACGTCCTTGGGGAGAAGTCAGCCCTCTCACTTCCTCTACTCAGCACATCTTGCAACTTGAAGGCAGTGGGGCCTGGACAAAGTCACAGCATTGGGCTTAGAAACAGCGGATGACTTTGGCCAAATTATCAACTTGTCTGACCCGTTTTCTCATCTGTGAAGTGGGGACATAAGGGACCTTACCTCAAAGTGTCGCTGGGAGGAGCATCAAGACAGGTGCAGGGAACCAAGTCCTAGCGGGTGGGCAAGCAGCAGTGGTTTGTCCTGCTCCTGTGATCCTCAAGGGGACCGGAGGGGTCACAGCCAAATAGGGCTGCCCTCTTCCCCTCAAGCCCAAAGCTGGGGCTGAGGACTGGCCATGCATTTGGAAGAACCCACCTTATACACACACTGCACTGCCCACTTGTCAAATTGCTTTGGTGTTCCGGGCCGTCTCACCTTCCCCACAAGGCCGCCGAAGCCAGAGGTATTGCTCCCATTTATTGGCTGGGGGTAGTGGGGGGTTTGGGCTTATAGCCCAGAGAGGGTGGCTGTTCTGCCCCAGGTTGCTCAGCATGCAAGAGAGACTGGAAGTCAGGTCTTCAGCTCAAGGCTCCTGCTCCGCCCTTGCACCGCCCTGCTCCAGGTGGGGAAGGGGCTTGGTCTAGGCCTCCCTGGGACTCCAACTCAATCCTCCTGGGGCTCATACCAAGGCTGGTGCTCTGTGTGCTCACCCGCTGGTCAGCCTCTCTAGGGGTAGCATGAGGAGGGGGATGCCCAGCTGCAGGTGTTTGTTGATTGACTGAGGGGGACTTCACAGCCAATCCCGGCCCCTTCTTGTCATTTCTCCCCTGGTGGGCACCACAGGCCCAGTTAAGAGCCATGCTGGAGGTCACCCAGCAGCAGGCCACCCAGGCTGAGAGCCAGCTACAGGAGCTGCAGCAGCGAAGCAGCCAGATCGAGGTACAAGGCCTGTCTGTTCCATTCCACTATGTCCTTGTGCTCTGTCCTTCAGGCAGCCACCAGCTGGTCCCTGGGACACTGGGCAGTAGGTCCAAGCTACCTTGAATATGCCTCCTGGCAGCAGGGAGTGAGGGGCTGAGCAGGGGGATGAGGTTCCAGGGACCCTGCCTCCCCACATCCCCACCCCTCAGCCCAGTGGGCAACCCTGGCCCTGGCCACCCTAGGCTTCTTCTGTGCCCACCCAGAGATCGGCCTGCACACTAGCCTCTGTGGTCTCTGGCAAGTTCAGCTGCCTGCTGCAAGCCCTGGAGATGCGGCGGGCTGTAGCACTGAGGGACATCAAGGTGGCCAAGACACAGGCGCTGGCACAGGCCCTGGACGGGGAGCAGCAACTGCAGGGCCACCTGGAGGCCCTGGCTCGCTATGACTGCAGGATCCGGGACCTCCTGGAGCAGTTGGATGACAGGACCTTCTTCCAGGTACCAGGCCTCAGGGCGGCAGGTTGGGGGCCCAGTGTGCTGCTCCCTTGTGCCCACGCTTACTGCGGCTGTCTCTGGGGCTCAGGAATCACAGCTCCTGGTGCCCCTGGGGCCTCTTGGGCCACTGACTCCTCCACAGTGGGATGAAGATCAGCAGCTGGGGGGCCTGAAGGAGTTGCTGAGCCAGCTGAGTGGCCTCCTCCTGGACGACGGGGGCCACTTCAGGGCACCAGTTGAG